GGGCGGGGATGCCGGATTTATGGGAGCCGTGCACGGCATCTGGTTAAAACAACGTTGTGCCCTGTGCTACCGGCCTAGTAGACCAACGAACACGAAAGATTACTCCCAAAAGCCCGAGCTACCAACTCGAGGAACCAGTTACACACCTCTCTTATTAATATTCTTCAACCTTCGTACCCTCGCGCCTACTGAATTTCCACCGTGGCCACCACGTAACGAACCACGAGACTGGTTTAAGATCTTAACGACAGTACGAAGGTGGTGTTTTCATGTGTAACAAATTATTTTTATGTACGCCATGATCCGCCATTGTCTACAGTCTCTGACGTTGCATTAATGACTGGGGTAGTTTGTTAAGTGGTAGTGGCAGTTAATCTCATGTGTTTAATGAGCATTCGATTACAATGTTCTTCAGGGGGGGGAGGGCAATGTTTTTCAGAGGTTAGGTAAAATTTTTCTTCGAAATTGCCAGGCGCTGGATTTTTATAACGTTCAGATGAGTCTTGATTGATAACTCGCATCACGCCTTTTAAACGCGATCGTTCGCGGGGCTAAGCGAAATTTTATTCTCAACTCTCGCGGGAAAAAATTTAATCTCTGATAAGAAATTCGACGAAACGAATTATTATTACTACGTTAAATCCCCTGAAGAGAGAATTTCCTGGATTGTTATTTTTATTAGAAGGAATTTCACGAACGATCGTGCAATATAGTGAAACGTTCATATCGCGGAACATCTTTCGAATTTTGAAAGCATTTGAATGGATCGTGAGAAGATGTAATTGTCGAGTGACGATTAACTTGTACTTCACCGATGTATCCTTCCTTTTCTTTTCAAAAGAAATATTCCTCATTTCGAAAAGAGTTCGACGTAGAGAAATGTAAAGCCAGGAAAGCTTTAAACGTGTCTGAAACACCGTTGAAATCGAAATTCCCCAAGTTGAAACCACACTGCCGATCATTATCACGCAATTTTAATTAAGGACTTAAATATTTATGCTTAAATCCGCTCGGATCTCAGAAACGAAAATATCTGAGAATTTGGTGGCGATTCGATCAAGCCTGGAGGACAGCAGGTCGAAACTTTTGACGAACAAATGGAAGGAGGCGCGTAATTAATGTCTCGTTATTCGTCACCGGGGGAGGAAAGTGGCTTTTGAAAATGACCCGG